TTCTAGATAAGTGTGACGGGGTGTGAGATCTTGCCCTTTTGTTCCAAAAGACACATGGTAGAGAGCCCACATACTTACCTGATTAGGAGTTCAAAGCCTTGTGCAGGATGATTTATGGGGAAGCTGCAAACCCTTGCTGGAGCACTGGCTTTTGCTTTTGATTTCTTCACAGATTAAGGTCGTGGCAAGGCTAGTAGAAGGCAAAATAGCGATAGATTCAGCCTCAGCATAGTTCCCGATTGCCTGTCATTCATTTCTTCCTGGCTTCCCCCCCGCCCCGACATTTGACCTGTTTACGTATGCTGTATCTATAAGATCCGAAGCTGCAAACCCTTGCTGGAGCACTGGCTTTTGCTTTTGATTTCTTCACAGATTAAGGTCGTGGCAAGGCTAGTAGAAGGCAAAATAGCGATAGATTCAGCCTCAGCATAGTTCCCGATTGCCTGTCATTCATTTCTTCCTGGCTTCCCCCCCGCCCCGACATTTGACCTGTTTACGTATGCTGTATCTATAAGATCCCCATCAGATGTGGTTTTTTATGTTTCATAACGTGAGGGTCACGGTGAGGCTTTGGGTTTGGATTTTTTTTTTTTTCCTCCCTTTTTTCTGTCAGCAATCTTACTGAAGATCCCAACGTTTTGGTACTGCTTTGAGTGTTTGTTGCTGGCTGTGAAGCCAGTGTGGTCTTCTACACTTTCCAGTGACCAACTCAATGTGTAACCGCTGCGGTTTTTTGACCCATTGGAAGTCGTCGTTTCTCAGGAAAGTAGCCGTCTTGGTGCCGTATGTCTCGCTTTTCCTATAATATCCTAAGACTATAGTGTTTTCCTCACTTTTCTTGAAAGGTTGACAGAACAGATAGTGCCCTGAGAAATCCAAAGGTTGGTTTCTCTTTGATGTTCTACCTCTCCTCAAAATTAAGATGGAAAACATCTGGTAGAGAAAAAGGAGCAAGACAAACTCTCCTCCATATATTTGGTTTTTAAAGTTGTACAAGTAGAAAAAAGGAACGGTGGGGAAAAGAACATGTTTTGGGATTTGCTTGCTGTTTTTTTAAACGTAACCAAGACTTCTGAATGATAAGGCCACTGCCTCCACCAGGCCATGGTTTTAATCCTTATTTCCCTTAGTAGATTTTTCAACTTTTCAGATTTCAGATTTTGAGTTGTTTTAAAATGAATACTAGTGTTACAAAAAACTTGCTGCCGCTTGGGAAATGGCACTTTTACAAAATCCTGGCATTTCTGAAAACACCTGCTGCTCCCAAAATAAATTTCAGCCTTCAAATTGTTTGCCCACTGAGTTAACACAGCTAAAACCTGCCAGGTTCTGGAACATACTCATTTCTGTAGTTTATCTTCAACTAAATGAACTGGATGTAAAGCATTTAAAGAAATTATGTTTTTCCAGCCCTTCCATCTAATTGCTGTGAAAGGAGATTTGTGGCAAATAAGTCTAGCCGGCAAATAAGTCTAGCCTGCATATTCCCAAAATGCATAGTTGAAACCACTCGGAATAGGAGGTTTCCAAGCCTACTATGGATGTATAGCAATCTTTGAAATGTCAGTTCTGGTAAGTGCAGCAAAACAAGTATTTTTGACTCCAATTAAAGTTGACTAGTAGTTTTTCTGCTTATTTTTTTCTCATGTTTCTTGGATGAGAATATAGCAAACACATTGAAATAGTTATTTATTACTCTAAAATGTGGTGCTATTCAACACGTGGCACATGCATCTCTGCTACCGTGAAGTTCTACTATTTTTGTCTTACCCCAGTCATTTTTATCTTTTTTTTTTTTTAAGGAAAAGGGGAAGGATGGGAACGTGAAGAGGAATGTTTTGTGATAAGTGTGAGGAGCAGTGCAGGAATCATGTTTTGAGGGGCTCCGATTAAAATGAAATGATACTGCGAGATTACAAATCTCATATTAATGTGAAAGTATATCTCTTCTGTTATTCACAGTAGAAGAGACACTGCCCAGAAAAACAAGTCCACATGGGCCCAGTTTGCATGCGGCCTTTGATCGGACTGAATTTTTTGAGTGCTCTGTCCGTCCTCAGAAAAATAAAAAAGCGGAACAGTCATATTCCAAGAATATCAAGATGTTTGATGTTATGCTGTGGAGGTATCCTCTCCTTCCAGTCCGTGCCAAGTTCCACCGTCTGGAAATACCGCAAAGAAATGTTGCGATTTTACCCTTGAAAACTTGCATACATAACGCTTAGCTCTTGTGGGGAGAGCTGACATCTCTAGGCAGCACCTTTGTAGCACTTCATTACTGTGCATATGGAAGCAGATCCTTTATACACAGCAAATTTCAAGTTAGAGATGCTTCTCTTTATGAAGTGTAAGGGCAGAACAAAGTGATTGAAGTCATTAATGTTTGTGCAGCAGATCAAACATGGATCAGACTGCACTCGGTCTCGTACGCCTGTCCGTACAAGATTGTGCTGGAACTACACACTCATTGTAAATGGACTATGTCGTATATCGCTGCGGATTGGTTTGAACCTGTGATATGTTTTTTTTTTTGAAGGAATGTGTGCGCGCGCGTGCACGCATGCGTGTGTGTGTGAGAGAGAATGTTCTGTATCTTCATTTCAGTTACCTGTCCTACCAATTACTATTTAACCTGACTTAATGATAGGGCTTTCTGGCAGAAAAATGACAAAGCGACTGGATTTAGTACAGGTGAAGAATGAACTCCCCATTCTGCAATCGTAGCAAAGTTTCTGTGCACAATACGCTGATTTTAATTCATTAGCACTTAATATGAAGTAAATTTTCATTTGAAGGTCACCTAAATTAAATCATACGCTAATTAATTTTTAAAATAAAGCAGGGATTAATTATTTCCAGGTGTTCACCAAAGTCCGGGCTCCTGCGGGAGTGCCATTTAAAGCAAGTCACTATTTTTCTACATTCTCTGAAATGGAGTCAGATTCAGTCAGCTGGAGGGCGTATGTTGTCAGAAGTGGAATTAAGTATATGCCTTGGCTAGTGGTTAGCCCTAAAACTCACTTTGTGCAACCCAGAAGCCTGTAAGTATTCTGCCTGTCAAACAATGGATATAAAATTCCTGTTTGGCCAGCTGTAGTTCTCACCATGGAAAAATCCTGATGTCCTAAAGACATAAATGATTGAGAAGGGATCAACTGAAAGATACAGCATTTCAAATGCAGGGGAGCTGTGTAAATTGACGTAAATTAGGCATTGATAAGTGGGTGAAAAAGATTGACTGAAAGGCCAATATGTTCGAAAAGAGGTGTTTAAAATCGGCTCTTAAGTATATATTAAGACATCTAAATGAATGACCTGATTTTCAGAAGTGCTGAGCGCTCAGCAGCTACCAATGAAATATTTTTACTTCACCCTTGGGCTATGATTAGACCTGGAAAATTTCAGCCTGAAAAATTTCAATTATAGGTAACTGAAAAAGAACCTTTTTAATGGAAGAGTTTCAACATCCCCAACGGTAGCTGTGGCTGTGCATGCCAGCTACAGTGATAATTTTTCTCTCCCTTGGTTAGAAGGCTTTCTATGAAAGCAAATTGGCTAACACAAGCTAAATGGTATGGTTTGGGTTTTTTTTAAACCAGGTACATAACCGTCTCACCATCCAACCAAGTGCCTGTTCTCTTAACACCCTCCGTAATGGTCACTTCTTGCTGTACATAAATGCGAGTTATTCACTTTTCCTTTTAATCTGACCTATCTGTAGCATTGCATATCCAGACAGGGTCCAGCCCATAAACTACTCAAGAGGTATTATTTCTGCTCTAGCATTTGCCAGTACAGGCAACTGCAACAGCTGACACTAATCTACTTATCTGGTTTATTTAGATCCTACTTATTTTTAAATATTAGCTGACCTGAAGCCACCCAGCTGCGCTCCTGTCAGTCCGATGTGAGCGCCTACTCCTTCCATCTGCCCCCTCTCAAGCCTTACCTTCAGCTGTGCGGCATCTTCTCCTGGGAAGGGTCTAACGGAGGCGGCCAGGGTTTTTGCAGCTTTTTCCTTTCCCAGAGCCCTGTACAACCAAACAGGCCGTGCCCCTGATGGCAGCAGCAGGATGCCCATGTTTATCGTACCAGCTGCACCTGAAATTCCTCTCGCGGACAGAAGGTGAGGTTAGAGGAGATGCCCTTCTGTCAGCTTGAAGCATGAACGGGTCGGAGCATTCCTCGGTGGACCCCACCTGTGGAGATGAACTGCCTGGGCTATTGCCCAAACACTTGCAAAAATATCTCCACAGGTTGTTGCACCTAAAAAGGTCTGTTTTACCAAGCCAGATAAACTTGGGCTCCAATAAACCTAATCTGTCATAAAGATAGATTAAAATTAAATCTCGGTGGATATAAAAATAACATTTAAAAGTCAAAGCTCAAGAATCTCTCCCTAACTTCTCATAAATCACCATTTTATAGTATTTCATTTGAACGCATTTTCCTCGGTTTATGAGGCAAAAGAATACTCTAATCATGTGGCAGCCTCCGTGCACACCATTACCTGTAATTTTAGACGCCTGCTTGATTTCTTTCACTCTGGAAATATTCCAGTCATTTTTCACAGTATCATGCTTAAAAAATAAAATGCACTGAACCTGCTTCTTCCATAATGACCAGCTTTTTCCCTCCTTAATCTTCTTACAGCTCCCTAAAACACCGTGATTTATCTATGCTGTATGCGGGACCCAGGTGTGCCGCACATTAGAAACAACTCAGTAAATAAGCCATACAGAGAGTAGCGGGGGAAGTGAATTTTAAAACATCATTAAAACCACTTAACATTCAGATCTTACCATTTCTCCCGTTCCTTAGCATTTGCAAAATTTTGTTTGAGCAGCATTGCTTTACATAGTCAAAAAAAAAAAAAAAAAAAAAGACATGGAAAAGCATGGGGGTTTATGCAGTATTTAGACAAAATATTGTCTGATTATTGGCAGGAAGGGTAGGTTTGATAGTTTATTGCAAGCTACACTGTTTTCTTGTTGCTGAATTGAACATATAGTTGATATATTGGAAAAGTAAATATATTTCGGGAGTATTCTGACCCACTTACTTAAAGTCCAGATATTTTCCCCACGGCTTCTTAAAGGTTGGTGCTAATTCCCAGGTGCATTCAACCGTGAGGCAGTGGTTTCAATACAAGAGAGGGGTGCAGAGCCACAGTCCTTATGTGGACTCTGCCGCTGCAGCCACCAAGTAAAAGCAGGTTTAAAGGAACTAAGGGATCATATACTCTGATGTAAACGAGCACTTCAGCACTTGATGTGCAGTAGATAAAAGTGGCCTATCTTTGGTTCGTTTATGCCTTTAAATGTCATGTTTAGCTCATTCATGTGTGATCAATCATGACATTAGGATCTGTGCTACAGTGTAGTAACGGAAACAGCGACTATTTTCAGTCCTGCCTGGAGGAAGGTTAACGCTTGCGGTCCCGATTTGTGGTTACCGAAGGTAAATGGTGCCCAATGTGTGTTATCAAATAACAAAGCGTACTGTGCTGCAGAATAATATCCTGACTTGGATTCTTTGGTACAACTTCACAGTTATCTGTGTTAGGAGAAGACTAGTACTGCTTTATGCCATTTAAAAAAATCAGAGTTAGTTCCCTAGCCAGTTAGAGATGGGTGAAGGCTTTAGGAATGGCCGGAGCTTTTGTAGACCCTGGAATCATTCAGGACTATGATACTGGCTTATGCCTGGTTGCATGAGGCTTTAAAGGGCTAAGCAAGCACAGAGAACCAGCTGTGCCCAAGGAATACCGCTACCCTACTGAAAACTCGCAAACAGAAAGTAGTGTATCACCAGCATTTGTGGGCTTCCCACTGCCGCTTGCCAGCTGAAATGGAGGTAGCACTCTTGCCTCATGTCCAATTTGGGAACAGCTTTTATTGACCTGTGCATTTGGTCTTAAACTTTTACTCTCGCTTGGCTGGGATTTTCTTCATAAATCTGGGTTTATTCCTTTGCTTCATTTTATTCTTCTTAATCCTAAAAGTAAATCTGTCTTTGGACCTTTTGGCTTGAGTATTTGATCTAATATTTGCATTTGAAAAGAAGAAATCTTTGGTATGGTCTTGACCTTCAAGATTTTGAAACTCAGAATCTGCATACTAATGCAACGACTGATTTCTACTGCTGAAATAAGAGCTGCAGACTCTTACAGCTAGGCAGTAACTCCTGCCCATGCTCTGCTCTTTTCAGAAACACGCTTTACGAAAAATAACTTGTGCAAAATTGTCATTGTATATTGCCTGGGATAATGTGGAATCCTGTGCAATTTTAAAATTACTTTCTTGAACCGTGGAACAATTAGAAAACTGTTTATGACCAAAATGAAAGTTTAACACAAAATTACAATCCCGTAAGAATAAACTGTGCAGAGGCAGCTATGGGAATGTGTGAAGATGTGCCAAATAGCATAGGTGGTCTCTAGCTGTGGTGCCTAAGGCTGGCGCTCGGCACAGCTGTGTGGTCAAACCGCCAGCTGTGCCAAAGGGTGGGAGTAGCGACAACTCCCCGCACTGTGCAGTAACCTTAGTTTGCCCGTAAGCTACGTGTTGCTCCACGACAAACAGCAGCATGATGGGGCACATACATCAGCCAAGCATGGGGCTCCTTAAATTCCATTTGTTATTATTGACCAAAGCACGTAATTGTTCTTCTGATGCTGGGGATTGATTTTTGCATGAAATTGGAGTCATTCCTCATTCTGGGAGAAAAGGTGGCACCTGTGAACTGAGATTAAAGGCACAGGTCTGGGAGTATGAAGTACAGTGCAATAGGTGTAGGATGAGATAGCTCTAAGGGTCTGATGGGACAGAGCCGCGTGCATCTCTCCCACCCACAGCAGGTAATATCACATTTTATCATCGCTTTTGGCTGTTGGAAGGACCGTGTTTGGGCCCTGGCTGCGCGGTACTTAAGGCAGAGGATTTCTGATTCCAGATTTGTCAGTAAGTTCCTGTTACAAACGTGCAACTAAATCATACAGAAAAAGATTACATTAATGTAGAGTATGGGGCTACAAGTGGTACAAGTCTTAGATTGTTTGGTGTCCTGAAAGTTTTTGTCAAAAATTTCAGCAAAGACAGAATTTCACTCGGTGGGTTTAATGTTTGCTTGGAAAATTCCCTACAGATTTTTAGTGCCGTTCCCATTTCTACCAAGAGGTCCTTCAACTCGCTTTTTGATTAAACTTGGAATTTGATTAAATTCCAATGTATTTTTGCTCTGATTCAGGCTGATAGGGTGATCCCTTGTAACCCATAGCACAACGTGGCATCCTAGTATGACAGGCCAGCGCAGTGGTCCAGCTGATAGCAGCGAGTAGCGTTTTAAATCCACAGTAGGGTGAAAAAAGCGCAGCAAGGACAAATTTTAGGAAATTGCACATCGGTGAGATATTCAGCTTTCAAACTTGGATTTATAATTTTATTGTCATGCCATGAAAGAAGAAAGAAGCTGTGCAGGTAATTAAATATTTGCCTTGGGGGATTATTTGCAGTTAATTAAAGCAACACACTTTCAGTGCATACCTTTTCTACAGATTATTAAATTTGGATCAGATGTTAACAACCCAACTTTCTCACTTATCCACCAGAGATTATTCTTGGCAAGTTTTGGGAACGGAGTTTTACAGGGGCATCCTTCGGTACATTGTAAGATTTGCTCTGCTATATTGTAGGACGGGACCTTCCAGAAGTAGAGCCATAACAAGACTGTCATAGCGTAATTTATTGTCATGCACCGTAGAGCCTTCGGCACTGTTACTTAAGTTTTCCATCTAGCAGCGTTTTATAAAGCGTTTCACTCTGGAACACTAATAGTGATTATCTGTTACCATTGTTATGACTTCAAGTGTACGTACCCCTGTAGTTTGCAGAAATGTCCGGTTGGATCCGTGGTGTTTTTAACAAGGCTCAAAGAGAGCTCTTTATCTAGTGAAAGCTGTGTGTTATGTGAATGAGAAGAGCTAAAATGGGTAGCTGTGTTGCTGTGATTTCCTGACTGTGGTGGAACGATGCATTTCTCCATCCCCATGCAAAAACTAAGGAGTGGCTGTTGTCAGAAAACGTCATTCGACACAACAAAATAATGCCCTGTGTTTATGAAGACTGCAGATAGCATAGCAATTGGACTTTTGTCGTCCAGTGTAAATCTCACAGTGCCACTGATTCGGGGTTCGGCTTTGGGCAGTTCATTTTGCTGGTCTCCCCCAAAACAAAAAGTAGTCTTGGCCACAATTAATGACCGTAGGAGTTCTGTCATCAAGTGAAATGAGGCTACAATTTGCACTGGGATTTATAGGACTTGATGTTTGTCAAGCTTGTGGAAGTCCAACCATGAAAAGTGCTGGCGTTGTTCTAAATAAATAAGGAATCACTTTATTTATTGAGTAGGTGGTTTGTGCTGTTTCTCATAGCTTTGTGCCCCTCCGTTCACTAGAAATAAAATGCTCAGTAGTGCTGCTGATTATTCTTACATGTCCTTTCCTGCCAGCTCCTTGTTTAAGGTTTGTACTGCAGGCAAAAAACTGCTCAGTAAGTATACAGATTTTGAAATCAATTTGAATAATTGAAACCCATGAGTATACTTTTGTAGTATAGAAGTCTGTAGTTAAACAGATAGAAAAGCTGTCAGTGTATCAGAATGCCAGATACGAAGCTAGCACCTAAGGGCTACCTGTGTCTGAGGTAACTACCAGACTTTTCCAGCATGAAAACTGCTGCAGGGTTGGTTGTTTGTTTGCTGTTTCCTCAGACTCCCTGAAAGACTCCAAAGGCGCACGGGAGAGTGACCCAGCGCATCCTGTGGGATGTGAACAAGATCAAGCCGAAGGTAAAGTTTTGTATCAAAATTCTTTAAGACAGAAGTAATGAACCAGTTGGGAACCTTAGTTCTTCCAGCATTCAGCAGTTTTCAGCCTGACCTCTGCTGCCTTGAGAAAATGCTGTTGGGTAGTAGAGGTTGTGCGCCAGCCAGTTGTAGTGTGGTAATCTCTGGTGCTGCTGGAAAAGACATGCGTCTCCAAATATGTGGGTTTAACCATATTGATCGTGGGTGCATAGCTTTGTTATTATTGTCCTTTTGGTTGTTGTTGTTATAAAAGCCTGTGGGGTGATTCTGTTCCTTCTGCTAAGTCGACTGTCAAGTGCGAGCGTCTATGAGAATCAGTGTGTCAAGGCTGAGCTACAAAAGAATAAAAAAAAAAAAATTTTAAAAATTGATTCAGGGTCAGTTTTGACCAGCCATCTAACATACTTAATCCTTAGAGTTTACGTGATATTTTCATAGATAAAATAATTCCAACATTGTTCATTTAATAGGAAAAAAGTAGTACTTGGCTGAAAAGAACCGTGCTGTATGTTAGGTTCGTGTCCTGTTTTGACGAACTTGCCGTTGCCTGCACGCAGCCATTGTGCCGATGTCATTTTCGATTTGTCACGTTAACAGGACGACAGGATGTTTCTGCAGAGGAGGAGATGAAAACTGGGGCAGATTCCCAAAGCTCCTGCATGGAAATAGAAGGTAATGCACATACCTTGAAACCGAAGATCAAGATTAACAGGCAAAACCATTAGTTATTGTTCAGAGATTATCAGCAGTGTTTAAGTTCCCTTTCTTTCTCCATACCTACTAAGCTAACTGTGTGAAGCCAGGTCTTCTTATGGTAACTCTAAATTCAACCCTGAGCAGGGGAGTATCTATGGATTCTCAGTGAAAAAAGCCGACTTCTTAATGACTGTGACTGTTAGAGAAAGAAGTGAACGTTGCATTTCTTATTCCTGATGACAGGCACTTCAGCCTTGTATGTTCGGAGCGCTGAATGCTCTGTCCCCAGTCCAGCAGAACACCTGAGTACATGTGTCTCTGCGCTTGCGACGAGTCCCAGTGAAGGCCTGTGCTTGGAGCTAGGCACGTGGTGGGGGTTGTGCTAAATCCCAGAAAGCTCAGCATCTTGGAGGATCAAGGCCTTGCTCCCAACTACAGCCCCTTGGATTTCCCTGAGACAGCTTTTGTATCTGTACCCTTGGGGAAAAGGATCCTTTTCCCCCACCGGTGTTTTTAATGGTAATCTCTCTAGTGTATGTTAATCCTTTTATGTCCGTTCTGAAAAGCCTTACTCTTCATCTTCTTTTCATCAAATTTATTCAGAGCCATTGTTGAACCAAGAAGACACAACAGAAGTTGAGGTACCTTTGATTCATGGTGCAGAGGATAAAGAAGAAGGAAAAGAAGGAGGAGGTGAGGCTACTTATTAAACAGATTGAGACAGAGAATGCTGCTGGGCTAAAGTTCTCCTTTTCTATTGAAAGGAAACATGGAACATAAAAGCATTATTTTTTTTCCCATGAAAAATCCTTTTTTGCCTATCCTTGAGTGTTGTTTTGATATATTGGACTTGGATTTACATAGGACAATAAATGCAAAAAAGTGCACATTCAGGTTCTAAAGTGACTTTAAAATAAACACTCTTCTCTTTGTTGGTTTTCTGCATTAAAGTGCATAAGGCTGATTAAACAACCGATTTATGTCCATTTAAGTACCCTCTTGATCATGTTCACTAGAAGCGTCGAGACTATTTACAAGAAATGGGTATGATAATTATTTGTGAGTTCATTAATAGAGATTTAACTAGTAATTAACTGAAACTAGTAATTCTAATAAAGAAGGTGATATTTGGAGCAGGAACACAGAGTCTTCCCGAAGCAGTAATTTTTTCTGTAAAGTATTTAAATCCTGAGTAATGGTTTTGCAAAGAAATGCAGAAGTTTAATTTTAAGTGTCGGACGCTTCTGGGAACCCTACATTGACCTCATTGTTTGGAACAGGCACACGATTATATAAAAAAGTAACATATTATGTAAATAATTCTCTAATTGTAAAGTAACTGCAAGTTAATAATTATATGGTCATTCGTAGAGCACAGTGATGAACTTTACAGTTCCAAATTAAAACGCAGACATGATTTTTATTGAAAATTCAGGTCAATGCTAACTGTGTTGTCCTAATTATGAACTCCTTTTTCCAGCCACTTTGACACCAACTTAATTGCAAACCTGCGTTTGTAATATTGACACTTTTCTTCACTGCAAACCCAGGTTAATAGAATCTCTTTGTTCATATACAGCTAAACAACGTTTCCTCTCTTTTTTTTTTTATTGCTTATCCAAGTTGAGACTAATCACATCTCTTTTTTATCAGTCATGTTAATGGTATTGGTTTTGTGCTTTATTACTGATGGCGAAATTAGAATTGATATAAACCTTACTTCAAATCCAGGTGAATGGTATTGCGCTACCTCAGTTGCAAATCCAGGTTATATAATACAAGCTCACTCTGATTGCAAATACCAAAGTCGTTATGTTAATTTCCTTCTAATAGAAATTATTTACATTTTATTTTATGCCTCATCAAAAGCAAGTTGGACAAAATGTACTTTCATTATTTGCACATTTCCTTCTCTTTAATACTTCAGTGTCCCCTACAGCTAGTCACTGTCATTTAGTTCTCAGTGGAGAGATTATATTTCGCCATCTGTTGTACCTACTATTAAAATGTGCAACGGTAAGGAAGCGAAGGTAATGTCAGAAAAGGGTTGTTCTTGGCACTTTTCCTTTTCCTGCCCCTGATTTAAAAGCTTTCAAGTCCTAAGTAAAAGGTTCTTTCCAAGCATTTTGGAACATGTTGCTACCTGGGGGCTCAGGTATTGCTCTTCTACAAGATTCGTCTAATCCAAAGCTTGTTGAAGTTCACAGAGGGACTCTCATTGATTTAAGTGAGATTTTGGTCAGTTCAATAATAAGAGGAGATGATGTGTTGAGTCTACCTGCAGGGTAACAGCACTTAGGTAACTGCATAGATACTCTGTTTAGCTTCTTCTGAATGTACTGGCTTTGGGTCAGAGACAATAACTGGGTGCTTTCTCAGGGTTTTGAGAAGGAAAGGAAAGGAAATCAAGGCTTTCCCTTGCTTTGTTTCATTTTTATGGTATAAGAACATGTAAAGCACCCCCAGTGCTCATCTTGCTAGATGCTTCCAGTTCAGGTGGGCATATACCCTGCCACGTGAGCTTTGAAAGTTTGCCACAAAGCAAGGTGGTTCTGGACAGAGAGAGGTTAAAAAAAGAAAATCATCTGAAGTTCAGGCTGATAAAATAAGATATATTCCCTAAAGAGAGACTCCTTTTAATGGAAAGAGATTACCTGGCATAAAACAGAGATTTGATCCGTTACATTATTTCATGTAACCCAAGTGCTACCTCATAAACTAATTCAGTTAAATAGTTTTCCAGCAGCATCCACAGTACATTTGCCGTACAACGAAATGGCATATTTTCTCCTAAGAACACATGAAAAAAGCTGATGTGGGACTGCTAGTCCCATTTAACAGAAATACACAGGTCTTAAGTGGTTTTGACTTGCACTAGACCTATATGCATAGCCAAATGTAGCAACTACTATAGTGCAAACTACCTGGTCTTTCTGTTCTGCGTCTGATTCTTCTTTTGTGTTACCAAGCTCATCCTGGAGCAAAGGGTAGCATGTAGCTACCTCTCTCCCCGCCTCCCACCAGGACCCATTAGATTAATGGGAGTCATTTGTGACTTGTGCTGTCCCCAGCACTGGAGCTGTGGAAGCCGCTAAATGACCAACAAAGATCAAAGTCCCTTTTCTGACCTAAAGCTATATTTCTGCTTAGTTACCGATTGCGGCTTTGAGGCGTGCTAGGAATCTTTTCGGTGATCTGGTTTTCTGTGGAAAAAAATGACTGTTTCTTGCTTGTTTTGAGATGTGTCTCGGTTTTCACAAACTTCTGACAAGCCATAGGTAAAGCTTCTGATCTAGTTGTGCAAGTTTTACTACCAGCTCACCTGTGTGTTTGGGGGGATTTTAGGGCTTGCAGGGTCCTTTCTCTATAGCTTATTTGGCTTCACAGCTCCAGGGTGCACGCCGTAGTGCATATTACCAAGCAGTCGTGGATGCTGGCGCTTTCGAGGTTCTGGGGTGCCGGGAGCCCAGAGGAACGAAGAATCAAAGTCTTGGCAATCTCACTACTGTTTCCCATTGCCAGCAGTAAGAAGGAAGCCAGATTACCCTGAAGAATTTAACAATGTAAGGCGCTGTGTGTGTTTCATAAAAACCTGCTGTTGCTTTTTCCAAAATCAGTAATAAAATAGAGCATGTGCCAACTTATTCCCTTTTTTCCTACTGTAACTTAAAGTTATATATTACTAGGGAGCAACTGAAGAAAGACAAACTAAGATGCCTTTTTAATTTTTTTCCAGCTACTATAATGCACTCATTCTAGTTCAGAAAATAATAATGAAAATCTGTGTTTCTTATAAGATTAGGGAATATTCTCAAATCCCTTTATTAAAAAGCAGAGTAAGTGGTGATCACTGACCTATTTGCTGACTAGGTAAGTGTACACGCTTTTAATAGACTGTTCGGCAGTCCCTTTATACCTACACTTGGAAATAGTCCTGTCATGTTGTAATGACAGCATTTAGTCGTAGTTTTAATCAGCACAGTTTTTCCACAACGCAATTTGCAGCACCCGGGAATAAAAGTCATCTTTATTTGTGTGAGTATGTAGCCATTTCCTCCTCTGAGCCTGCTCTCCCCTCTATCTTCTTATTTCCCAACTCTTTCTATCTCCCTTCGTAAAGACATTAGCTACGATGATTTCCCTCACTGATCATCTCTGGAAGTTGCCTAACTCTTTGGAGGACAGGATTTCTGTCAGAGCACCGGAATATATGATGTAGCTGTTACTTCTCTGCTGGCTATTTTCTGTATTCGGGCTAAAATATTTTTTCTTATTGTGCTGTTTGGAACATGATTTGAGCTTGACCTGGGATGTTTCTCCACCCAGGAGACAAATTTAGAGTGGTTAGGTAGCATCCTCCCTGGGCAAAGGACACATTTATTTTCTGTTGGACAAGTCCAGAAGTAGGTTGTTGCTGAAGCACAATCAAGGAGCAAAACGCCATCACTAAACGCCTCTAAAAAGGATATTAAAGGGTCCAGGGATTTAGCTTAAGAACAGCATGCACGCCTTACGATTAGTATTTCTGTGCAGTTGGATCTTAGCCTGTTTGAATGCTGTGTTTTGGGAACTGTATTATCCATCTTTTTTTCTGTATGAACCATGCAACGTTAAGGCAGGCTTGGGAATGGGCCAGGGGAGATTTCGCAGTTTAAATCATTTGCAGTTTATGTGACTTGCGTTGCTGGTCTTCTGGTCAGTGCCTGTTTACTGTAAATTTGAATTCTGACTAATTTCTGTTCTAGTTAAGCCCATTTTTGCTTGGCGGTCTTTACTACATGGATAGCTATGTAACTATGTAGCCATCATTTCATCCATTCTTCCCTTAAACAGCTGGATTTTCAGGTCATTTACCCATGTGTACTTTAGCAAGAGAGATAATTTTATGGCATAGTCTTGGAGAGAATTAAATATTCCAGAACCTGGAGGAAAAAAGCTCTCAGCTTTTTATAGTTTCAGTCTCGGGCATTTATAGGATTTTACATGCATTGGTAGAGTCGTAAATATTGTCAAAATAATTACTTTCTTTGATATGACATTGTGGCTATAGAGAAACAAAATACTTCTTGAGAAAGATCTTTTTGGACAAATACGACATCTTTATTCTTGAGTCATGGCAATTGTAGCTACTTTTTATTTCTTAACCAAATTTCTTTTCAGCTTCAAGTGGAGATGGATGAGATATTTTGGGGGGAAAAAAAGATATTTTACAAAATCTTCCTTATAGCTCTTTAAAAAGATATTTTCTTTTTGCTTGGAAAGAAAAGAATACAAAGAGATTTGGAGTCTTGTGGCTTCCTGAAGATCTGATACAAAGGCTCCAACTTCTTTTACTCTGTTGCCCAAAAAAGAAAGGTATAAATATCCCGAATCAAATACAGCGTGTTTGGTCTTTGATAACGATCCATACTGAATGGATCAGATGACATTTTTGGGGCTGTTGCAGAATAGTCTGGCCTTAAATTTGAAATACATCTTTAAAACCTACTTCTGACAGGTATTGATATTTGGCAAATAAAAAGAAAAGAAGGTGCACCTTTGGGCCTTTTGCAGAAATACTGGAAGCACTGTGGAACCAAAAAAATTGCAAATGGGTATTTAAACTCACATGTCTAAAGCTAAGCTATGCAGAGAGTGGACTGTTGCAAATTCCAGTTGGAATTAGCTGGAAGTACACTGTAACAAGATTATCA